GGAGTGGGGAGTGGGGAGTGGGGAGTGGAGTGGAGTGGAGTGGAGTGGAGCGAAGTGAGACAGAGAGAGAGAGAGAGAGAGCCACTACAAGGGGAAACTATGAGCAATTATTCCGAGCTCCACATTGCATGCCGCCCCTTTCCACTGCAAGCTGCAGGCTAGAGTCGCGTGTCGGCTCAGCTTGCGCTGCATGGGAGACGGGGGCGAGCAGAAGTGGCGAAGTACGTGGAATGACACAGCAATCCTTGGCTACAGAAGCTTGGAGGTAAACCCTGAACCCCAAAACCTAAACCCTAAATAATGTCGAACCTACAGAGCCCTCTTGCTGAGGTAGCATGCCCACCATAGGCCTCTAACCTGAACCGTCGGCAGCCAACAGACCGCTCCGTGCACTCTACGGTAGTTGTGGTGGTGTCGAAATCGAGCATCAAGAAGGTGTCGGGTTTGGACTGGTAGTGTGATGGCAAAGGAAGAGTGTCCATCACCAGGACCCCTAAACCCCAAACCTGCCTAGACTCCAAGGAGCTTTCTTTGATGAACCCTAAACCACAAACCCTAAACCGTCTTGTACTTGCAGTCTCGACGACTTTTACTGACTTTGCCCGAGATCCAACCTCAACAACCAGCACAGGCTTTCAGCAGATGCGATTTTTGAAGACACCCGGACCCCACTCAACTACCCATAAACCCTCAGGTTATGTACATGTATTCCTGAACCGTAAACCCTAAACCTTAACCGCGCTGTCTGTGCCTTATTGCTCTTCAGCCGCAGAACTGTCAAACTTAGATGCAGCATGCATAATAGATCCCTTGGCACTCCCTAGGATGCGATACAAGCCGCAAAGCACTGAGCAGCTCTGCCAGCACGTACACCTTTGCTGGATTTACACCGGATAGTAACCCTCACCGACTCTGTAACGGATCCCTGAAAGGGACCAAGGGATACTTGAATGGAGCCTTAGATGACCTCAGAAGGATACCTTAACGGATTCCTAAAATGGCCATGCAGGGATCTTTGGTCAGAATCAGGGTTCGCTTGAAGCGCGTGGTTTTACGGTTTAGGGCTTAGGGGGTTTAGGGTTTTAGGGTTGAGGGTGCCGAAGCTGCGCCTTTGGTTGCCATGAGCACAGCAACGGCGGTTGTACTTACACCGGGTTGCCATGAATCCCTACTCCATGCAACCCGACTAAAAGCTCCAATGCAATACACCCTACAGCATGTCTTCAGAAAGCCCTATCAAGACTTAATGACACAACTCAAACTAACCCTTTAATGGCCTTCAAAAGTAAGCCGCCAGACACAGCTCGGCTTGCTCATTTTAAGCCCAAGACTGAATCTGCAAACACACATTTGTTCATGCTGTTGTGGCCCTAACCAAAACGAGTTCCGTCCGGGATTTTGCATGAGGATGAATATGGCTCTGAACCCTCAACCGTACACCCTAAACTAAGTATGGGGGATTGCAGGCCAACTTTTCTAAGGTCCATGCGAGCATCTACTTTCGACTTGGGCCTTGCCGTTGACCCATCGGTACTGCCTACTGCCTAAAGGTTTAGGGTTTAGGGCCTATACTTAACGATTATAGACGTTCCATCTATGTCACTTATGTGGCCACCTACTATGATAAAACCCTAAACCCTAAACCCTAAACCTTAGACCCTAAACCCTAAACCCTAAACCCTAGACCCTAAACTGCTATGGCTGCAGGCAGGGGGGGGCGTCTCCTAGACTAAAGAGTTGATCACTCAAACCCGGTACCACGGTTAAGGTTTAGGGTTTAGGGTTTAGGGTTTAGGGCTTACATATCGTCCTGAAGCCTTGCCCGATATAGGCTCTCTAAAACCAACATTTCAGCAGGCCTGAAACTACATCACACACGCCCGTATACTCCCGAACAAGCAATCCATGAACCACACAACGTGAGACATACCCGAAACCCTAAACCCTGAACCCCCCCCAACAGAAACCGAACGCTAAAGCCTGATTGGAGGATCACGGGACGTAGTAAGATTATAAGATAATTTAAGTACCTTAACTGGCGTACTACAAGCTACTTACCTCACCCCGTTACTAACTCCCATAATCCTTTAAGTGAACCCCAAACCTTAAACCCCAAACCCAAACCGTAAACCCTAAACCCTAAGCCTGAAGCCGTTGCTTTCAAAGGTGCCCACTTGGCCCCTTCGGGACTGGTGACCAGCACTATGAATGGAAGAAGTGCGAGCCTCGTTTCGGGTTTCTAGGGCTTAGGGTTCTAGGGTTTAGGGTTTACCTGGACCCCAAAGAACCTGCCTTTTCAGGGTTCCTTACTATGATTTCTGTATATAAGTCTTTAAAAGGGTAGGTCAAGGTAGGTTATTTGGGGTTAAGGTAGGGTTTAGGGTCTAAGCCAGAGGTTTGGGGGGGGGGAGTGCGGGGCCAGGAGTCTATGGGTTGAGAGGTTTGGGTTTAGGGTTTTGGGTTTAGGGTTTAGGGTTTAGGGTTTAGGGTTTAGGGTTTAGGGTTTAGGGTGCGGGTTTTAGGGTACCCGAGTGGGTTCCACCGGTTTTGAATAGGGCTTCATA